GATTTTCAATCTCAACTCCGAGCATGCAAATTTTAAACAAGTGGCCCCAAAAAGGGCTGGGGGAAACWTATATGTGGARAGGTGCAGTGGCAAAACAAACAAACAAACGAACGAACAGAAAAGTAAGTAAAKATCATCGCTGGCCATGATGGMGACAACAACAACGGTGTGTGCGTGCACAAGATGATATGGCGAAACTGGTTGATCGCAGCGAGAACAGCAACGACAAAGTTTTTGTTGTGCTGGGACCGCTGCTGTACWGCAGTAATATGTGGTGCGTTCCCGGTTCCGCCGTCATTTTGTGCTTGCTCGMGCTGTATGCGTGCGTGCGCRCCTGTTGTGGTGTGTGTGGTGGTCGTTGCTTTTTCCTGGGGGGCGTTTRTTWGTGCTGCTGTTGGCGTCGCMGTCACTGGCGTCGCGTGTCCTCTCTGCGAAATCATCGATGATGTGGTGCCGGACTAGKCCGCCGCCGCCGCAAGCGGAAATCGTMTCACTKACTCCTTGGCATCATCCATCATATGCATGCATGCTGCGGTGTTGGCGAGCGATTCCGGGCGCCGCGCGGMMGAACCTCTTTGGAGCGCAGATTTATGTGTCGTCATGCGCGCATGCTGCCTCCATTGACGCGCCACAWCWCATTGGCATGGTGACCCACTGCATGGGCTGTCTGTACCCGTGAGTGTCCAGTAGCAGTAGCGTCGTACTAGTACAGTATGGCTACGGCTGCTGTGGCCGCGCGCCTGTGTTTAACACGCACGGGCGCACACACAAACACACAGCCCACCAGGGTCGAGGACAGCCGTCCAACCCCCAGATCGCACATTTCCGTTCACACGGAGGTGCCGGTCGAACCAGGTATGCGATCGCTACCCTATGGGCAACCATTATCGATCACATCATGATCATAGCAATCGACCAGCAAGTGCGGCTCGCTTTGCGGCCTGCCGCATGTCTGGTACCGACTGCATTCCTTGTGCGACGACACGCCACAGCGTGCGCGTGGCACATGGAAATGCGGGGAGGAACAAGAGGATAGGCAAGAATTGCAGTGGACCTTGGTTGGTGATACGAACAACATGTCGTGGCACCCATGGTCTGCTGTCGCACGTTGTCGCAGAAGTGGCAAATAGCGGTGGTCAGCGTTGTTGTCGTCGTCCGTGAGTGAGTGAGCACAGCGATGGATGATGGTGTGTCGCAGAAGTGGGGGGGGGGAGAGAGGGGGAGGCGGTAGCAGTACCGCCACCACCACCACCACCACCACCAC